TCTCTATGGAAAGGTTGTCATGACCCACTTTTTCCAAGTAAATAAAAGCTCTTTTCCAACAATTGGAGAGTTTAAAATACATGTCAGAGTTTTTTTACGCAGGCTACAAATTTTATAGCATGAGAAAACAGCCAACATTTCACAACACCACCACTAGTTTCCAGGGTGAAATGATGTCTGAGGAATGACTGTAGAAATTCCATACTGATGACGTGTCACTACCCAGATCCGGGTAGGTGTTTCTGATTAGTTGAAGCAAATTTCTTGTGCAACACTACCCCTCTAGAAATTCCAAGTAGCTTCCCACATTTTAAAAATTTTTTTGGTCTTAGAGATCCCTTCCAACACGGGAACTTCTAATCACTTCCACAGAGGAGTATGAAGATTTTCTGGATCTATGCATTGCAAACCTCAACAAGAAGCAAAAAATGCTAATAGTACTTACACATTTATCACGGCACTCTAAGAAATCAAACAACTCCTGTACACATATCTCCTCTGTATTTGACTTGCTGTTCACTCGATTATTGCAAGCCTCTAATTCCTCAAAAAGTTTAGCACACTCTTTATGCTGAGCACATGCTTCTCTGACTTTATCCCCGGGATCTTCTAATTCTTCTTCATCCTCCTCTTCATCATCTTCGTCTCCACCCTCTGGTGACTCCTCCTGTTCACCTTCATCTTCTGGGTCGGAATCGTCATTCTATAGCAGAGAGAGCAGAGGTCAATGCGGCCATTAGCTGCAAAGCACCATCACAATTATTCACGTGACACTGTCAGATCTTATGAAAACATGTTAAGTTGTCTACAACACAGCTATAGTTTGTGCAATTTCATAGGCTGAATTTTGTCCGCTTCTCAATCTTGGCCAACAACTCTTGCCAATTCAGATCTTAATTTCCTGTATTCACAGTCAAAAAAATTAAAAGACTCTGACTTTTGCGATCGTGGTTGGTATTTCACTCAAACCTACAATAAACTTGTTAAAAAAGAGAAGATTCAGCTTACAGATGAACCACGCTGGATTGAGGACAATATCAATCATGCTCTAGGCAATCACAAATTAAACTCTGAACCTTTTATTTAAAACAACGGCAATAAAACCTCCACTTTAGAACTTATTCCGTTGATTTATCATCTACGATTTCGTAAATAAATAGAAATGAAAGTATTTGTTGTTATCTTGTGTTAAAAAACATAAGTTTACCGATCAAATAAATTAAAATCCAGTCATACTAAGCTGATATTCCTGTCATTATAGTGGACGCCGGTTTCACTGCCTGATTGTGTCAGCACAATCGATAGGGCTGATAGGGGTATAAAGGGCTAAAATACCACAGCTTGAAGTTATTCTGAATCTAAAATGATACAACAGATAAAAGAGGGTAAAATTAACCTTTTCAACGACAATTTCCTCGCTTAAAAGCGCTTTTTCTTCGTCCAAAACCATCTTCGGTCACCATCCAGCGCCAGTGTCCCGTGTAACTTGCTTAGTGACCAAGCCTACCGGCAAAACTCGCCATCTGGTCAAGAATTCTGGGTAAACGATAACGCAAAGAATGTAGGTACAAAATGCGTGCGAAGGCGATCAGATGATACCAAATGACAAACACAGAAGACAATGTCTACCTTTTAATCGAATGTCTTTCTTTCTCTCTTTCTTTCTTAGAAAAAAAAAAAAACAGGTGCACTCTCCAACAGGTTATGTTGTATCAGGAAATTTTTTCTTTATGCCATAGTAGCTGTTCTTAAAACGACGCCGTATATTAAACACAAACAGCGGTGGAAAGTCAACGCATTTTTTATCGTAACCTTGAATATGCAACATACACTTGCAAAAGCAACCTTTATAATTTTTCGGGCAACTGTTAAGGCAACCGTATGTTTTAAGAAGCTACAGTTATTACTTCAGTAAAGCATCACCTTTTCACGACTGCTGATGATCGATGATGAAATCATGTGTTATTCTTTCGTTGTTCTTGAGCCGTGTACAAAGATGAAAATTTCCAAGAGCTAGCAAACGCTACGGTCCAGTGGTGACGGTCTCTCTCTATATGCGTTATTGAACAAGCTTATTAGGTCAAGATGGTAGTATATTGGCCAAGTAATTTCTTGCGTTTTTGAGGACCGATACGAAGTTAAGGTCAACATTTACAAACACGACCAAACACGTAAACTGAAAAAAGAACGGGGCCATGATCCAGCCATCTCTAGTTCAAGTCCTTCAAGAGTTGAAGAACTTGAGTCCATTAACATTAGAAGTCTTAGGAGCTCACTGCGAGAAAACGAAATGGAAGTCAGACTGGCTAATGTGTTGAAGGTGATTCGTTAGGTATTTTTATAGCTTCCTCGAGCCATCGTTATACATGAAGGAGAAGACTGACTTCGCAGTAAAGAAAGCCAGAACTCTTTGGCTAATTTCAATTTGGTAAAAGACAATTTTAATCCACTTACGATACAAATCCAAAGGAATAGAAATGAGAGCGACAGTAAAGCCCCTTTTTATTTTGAACCAACTTCGAGTGTGATCTCCAAAATTTACTAATTACATCCCAAAAAGATGCAATATGCATTAACAGCTATTACTGTATCTTATTATTGATCTTGATAAAATGAAAAAAGACCGTAAGTGTTAATTAAGACCGGCGATAAAATGTAAAAATTCATCAGATTGTTCTCAATGCTTTATAACAGATCAAACAGGATAAGATAAAAATACCTAAAACTTGAANCATCTGGTCAAGAATTCTGGGTAAACGATAACGCAAAGAATGTAGGTACAAAATGCGTGCGAAGGCGATCAGATGATACCAAATGACAAACACAGAAGACAATGTCTACCTTTTAATCGAATGTCTTTCTTTCTCTCTTTCTTTCTTAGAAAAAAAAAAAAAACAGGTGCACTCTCCAACAGGTTATGTTGTATCAGGAAATTTTTTCTTTATGCCATAGTAGCTGTTCTTAAAACGACGCCGTATATTAAACACAAACAGCGGTGGAAAGTCAACGCATTTTTTATCGTAACCTTGAATATGCAACATACACTTGCAAAAGCAACCTTTATAATTTTTCGGGCAACTGTTAAGGCAACCGTATGTTTTAAGAAGCTACAGTTATTACTTCAGTAAAGCATCACCTTTTCACGACTGCTGATGATCGATGATGAAATCATGTGTTATTCTTTCGTTGTTCTTGAGCCGTGTACAAAGATGAAAATTTCCAAGAGCTAGCAAACGCTACGGTCCAGTGGTGACGGTCTCTCTCTATATGCGTTATTGAACAAGCTTATTAGGTCAAGATGGTAGTATATTGGCCAAGTAATTTCTTGCGTTTTTGAGGACCGATACGAAGTTAAGGTCAACATTTACAAACACGACCAAACACGTAAACTGAAAAAAGAACGGGGCCATGATCCAGCCATCTCTAGTTCAAGTCCTTCAAGAGTTGAAGAACTTGAGTCCATTAACATTAGAAGTCTTAGGAGCTCACTGCGAGAAAACGAAATGGAAGTCAGACTGGCTAATGTGTTGAAGGTGATTCGTTAGGTATTTTTATAGCTTCCTCGAGCCATCGTTATACATGAAGGAGAAGACTGACTTCGCAGTAAAGAAAGCCAGAACTCTTTGGCTAATTTCAATTTGGTAAAAGACAATTTTAATCCACTTACGATACAAATCCAAAGGAATAGAAATGAGAGCGACAGTAAAGCCCCTTTTTATTTTGAACCAACTTCGAGTGTGATCTCCAAAATTTACTAATTACATCCCAAAAAGATGCAATATGCATTAACAGCTATTACTGTATCTTATTATTGATCTTGATAAAATGAAAAAAGACCGTAAGTGTTAATTAAGACCGGCGATAAAATGTAAAAATTCATCAGATTGTTCTCAATGCTTTATAACAGATCAAACAGGATAAGATAAAAATACCTAAAACTTGAAAGTTTTTGTATTATTTAAATTATCTTTGTGCCGTTCATCAGTTATTATATTTGAAGTTTGAAAAGTGGTGTAAAATGGCCTAGTCATAGACTAAACATCTTCATGATATTCTTCTTGGAACATATCAATCTTAAATACTTCCACGTTAGTCAGTTGTCGGGACTTCAAGCAAATGATTTAAAATATCGTAGACAGCTCTCTTCCAACACATATTTGGACCAAAAGACAAGCACCTCCCAAAAAAGATACGAGTTTTCTGTCAGAATTCAGGATCTCATTGATATTGTACTTGTGTGATGAATTTCACACTTTGCGACGTTCCTAATTGTTTTCCGTGTGAGCTGCGAGGGAAAAACACACCTGGACAAACTCGAAATCTTGTAACAGACACTGCGATTCGTGTAAATCATTTTCGAGTCGTTTGTTGACTATCCTGGACCAAAGTTAAATCAAGTCAGTTTTGGTGTAAGTCGTTAGATCTAACTACGAAACTAATGGACTCTAAGTTGCAGATGCAGTGTTATGATTAGGGTAATCGTAATGTGTGGCACCAAACATATGAACTTGTGGGGAAAAAAGTCGAAATTATTTGAGGATCCGACGTGCTTGAATAAGCGTCTCCTTTTTTAGTTGTAGTGCTTTAGTTATTTGCGCGGATATGGACTCGAAAAGGAAAATTATTGCCTTTTTACAAAAGACTAAAAAACTCACGAAGATATGATGTTTCCACACTTTTACGATGGGACGAAGTTTTGCCCTGCTTTGACTTACTTGCTGTTGCTAACTCACTCAACTCGCTTATTATCGCTACTTTGCGAAAACGATAATTTGCCACTGATGTGCTTGTACAAACATTACACAACGAAAACTAGTTATTTCACAGAATGATAATGCAGCCGTTACAACATCATTAAACTTAGTAAGGAAGGTCTTCTAACTGCATGTCTCAACATTAAAAAGATCAAGCTCGAAGCAAATAATTACGTTTCATGAACAAAACAGGAAAATTGATTACACTTTAAAAAGAATATTCTTTTATGTTTTAAGCAGAACAAAATGTCAAGAAGAGTCCTATTGGCCCATCTGTTGCTGTTTTTTGAGAGCCGAATGACCGCTTCGAACGAGTGCCGCTCAGTGGAGTCGATTGTCGACTACGCCCTCTTTAGCCATATCCACGAACGAATATCCGAGATACGATTTGAATCTTGCGCCTCAAGATGTGATGCTGATCCGTATTGCTACAGCTTCAATTTCTTCATTCCCAGCAAGACCTGCGAGCTGAACAACGCGACCAGTTTGACGGATTCCAAAAACTTCCAGAGCATGCCCGGCGCGGTATACTTTAGAAAGCTGAAACCACCGCACGACTTTTGTGAAGCCTTTCCTTGTCAAAATAATGGGACGTGCAAGATTCTTGACCGCGCGCCTGGGTTTGAATGTTCTTGTCCCACTGAATACAGCGGAGAAACATGCGAAAGTGAGTAAATGAAATGCAAACATGCAGCATTCATAAATTAACCATAGTAATGCCCCCACGAGTAGTAAAAGGGGTTAAACTATAAGGACACGTTTGCCTCGTTCTCAGTTTTCTGAGTCGTAGGAGCCTGGGTGAGAGTGACAGTAGGATTGCGTTGACTCTTTAGCAGTCACGATAACTTGAAACGAAGACAAAGACGCTTCTTCCTTTTGAATGAAAATATGGAAAATTCTCGCTAACCTTTCCAGAGTGACCAAAACGCAGCCTTCGTTTTTCGAATTGACCATTATTAATGATAATTAAAATGACAATGGCGGTGATATTGAAAACGACAAAAACAACGACAATGGTGATATCGATAATGATGATGATGATGGTGGTGATGATGATGACAATGATGACATTCTATACTTACACAAATTAACCGAGACCCTTATGTTTAGTCCCATTCTTAAAAATGAAGGAAGATGAAAGATATTAAAGCCCTTGTTTTAATCCCCTTAATCCACTCCGATTGTCTCTTCTTCTGTCTTTGGCCTGGGGATATTATAGACCCTCCAGTCCTCAGAAGCAGAAATTAGCTGAAGCTTACGATCAGCGCGATATAACAGTCCAGAGTGCTCATAAACTAGTACTTCGAATTCCTGGAAAACAACTATTCTGTGTTATAGCGAAATTGTAAATTATCGATTAGCCTGCACGCAGACGTCTCCTATTTCCCTCGCGAGACATCTGCGCACAGGCTAGTAATCGACGAAATGATTTTTTTCCAGCAAATGTTGAGCATACAGAATCGCCCTCTTAAAGCAATCGTAATTTTCGTCATTATCTTTTTAGTTTGCAATCCTTCCTCTCTGGGTCTGAGTAACCATGAGCTTTCTGATCTCAACTTCAACGCCTCATCCAGCTTCAGTCCTTTCGCGCCTCGTGATGCGAGGCTATACGCGAACACATCCTGGGCTAACGAGGGGTACTCTAGCGAAGAATTCCTACAGATTAGTTTCCACCCCTACTCAAAGCTTATTACAGGTGTGGCTACTCAGGGAAACCCTCATCATGATTGGTGGATTTATCGTTACTATCTCCAGTACAGTCTAGATGGTTTTACGTGGTCATTTTACGAGGTTGCATCATATCCCGGATCACGAAAGGTGAGATAGCGTGATCTGTATACAAACTTGATACGAGACAGCATTATTTATGCATATTCGTTTCGAGGGTTCTCTCCTACTCGTCACAGGTCGTGACGGAGAGAACTCTGGAAACGAGTTGTGACGAGAGTAGGGGCCTTAAGCAACTACGGAAAAAAACAATTGGTTTTATGAGCAAAACAAAAGCTCTGCACGTGCATCAGGATTTTAGTACATTTCTTTGACGTCCACTGCACGACTACGACGTGAAACCTCCCAATGCGACGTTTTATGGAGGACGTGGACAAACGACGACAAATTTCCCTTTCTCTATTTGAACATGGATGAAGCCCTTAACAATTCATCTCTAGGAAAAGTCGCCTACAATTGACGAATTGAGCGGCTCCAAATAGACGCGATAAAGTTTGAAAGGACGCAAATTCNTCTGCGCACAGGCTAGTAATCGACGAAATGATTTTTTTCCAGCAAATGTTGAGCATACAGAATCGCCCTCTTAAAGCAATCGTAATTTTCGTCATTATCTTTTTAGTTTGCAATCCTTCCTCTCTGGGTCTGAGTAACCATGAGCTTTCTGATCTCAACTTCAACGCCTCATCCAGCTTCAGTCCTTTCGCGCCTCGTGATGCGAGGCTATACGCGAACACATCCTGGGCTAACGAGGGGTACTCTAGCGAAGAATTCCTACAGATTAGTTTCCACCCCTACTCAAAGCTTATTACAGGTGTGGCTACTCAGGGAAACCCTCATCATGATTGGTGGATTTATCGTTACTATCTCCAGTACAGTCTAGATGGTTTTACGTGGTCATTTTACGAGGTTGCATCATATCCCGGATCACGAAAGGTGAGATAGCGTGATCTGTATACAAACTTGATACGAGACAGCATTATTTATGCATATTCGTTTCGAGGGTTCTCTCCTACTCGTCACAGGTCGTGACGGAGAGAACTCTGGAAACGAGTTGTGACGAGAGTAGGGGCCTTAAGCAACTACGGAAAAAAACAATTGGTTTTATGAGCAAAACAAAAGCTCTGCACGTGCATCAGGATTTTAGTACATTTCTTTGACGTCCACTGCACGACTACGACGTGAAACCTCCCAATGCGACGTTTTATGGAGGACGTGGACAAACGACGACAAATTTCCCTTTCTCTATTTGAACATGGATGAAGCCCTTAACAATTCATCTCTAGGAAAAGTCGCCTACAATTGACGAATTGAGCGGCTCCAAATAGACGCGATAAAGTTTGAAAGGACGCAAATTCATTTTTTTAGTGATGTTTTCACTGCCGTTGTCGTCGTTGCTGCTTAAGCTCCGTAGTATCAAACTCGGCCTCTTGTTGGTACCCTTGCCCTGACAAAAATAAAATGGTGGTCCCTCTTACAAGTTATTTTTCGTCGATCTTTTTTAAAGAGGATATTTTTTCAACCGCTATTTTCATATTTTTTTAGAACTCAATAGGAAGCTTAAGCAACGACCACGGCGACGACAACGAGAATGGCAAAAAAGCAAAAGGTTTAGATTGGCAAAACAACAACACGCCTTTTTGTACATTTTTTTGCCGTTAGTGCACGACTACGATGTGAAAATGCCTAATTTCACTTTTTTGGAGAACGTGAACACAAGACAACAACTTTCTTTTTATTTTCCTGAAATTCGAGACAGTCCTTGAAAAATTCAACCTCAAAAAATTTACCAAAATTTGACGAATAGAACGAGATGGAATAAGCGCGATATAGTTTGGACCTGCGGGAGTTCACATTTCAAGTCCAAGCTCCCTATTATTTCACCCGCACAGTCAATTGGTTCTTCACGGTTAAGTGTTTCGAGTTGCGATCGGTAGGGCCTGGGAAGTTGCTCTTCTTTAGGGGGCAAACTGAGAAGCCGATGAAGTCTCTAGCCCGATCCTTATACCAGGTGTGATCAATGGATGAGCCTTGCTCCCCTAGGTCGAAGCACGGATGCACGGGGACGGGGGGGATCAATATAGGTTTCTGGGAAACTGCCCACCTACCCCTCCCCTTACCCGACATTTTGCCCTAGGTGAGAAGTAAGTGTTTATGTTGACTTAGGGGAGGGGTAGGTGGGCAGTTTCCCAGAAACCTAAATTAATCCGGGGGGATCACTTAAATTTAACTTGTTCATCTAAAATGTTGATAAGCACCATTTCACTAAAACAAAAGGCTGGCACTTCGTCAAAGGGCTGATTTATTATAGGCCAACATTTCGGCTATCAAAATTAGCCTTCCTCAGGGCCAGAGCTATACCGAGAGAAAATATCTTTTTTTTGTTTACCATTTCACTGTTCTGGTCCAAATTAAACACCACCTTTTCGCCGTTTATGATGTTCTAGGAATTCGTTGGCAACACGGACAGGAATACTGTGGTAACAAACCAGCTCCAGCGCCCCATCCGAGCAATGTACTTACGGATTGTACCAAGGGCTTGGCAAAATAAGGTCGCCTTAAGAGTGGAAGTCTACGGTTGTAGCTGAAGCCAACATATTATGAGAAGTGAACGGACGTCCGATAGGGACCATGCCTGTCACTTAAATTCCTTTTGAAAGTGAAAGGATCGACAAAGTTGTCGTAGTATCTAAACAGAAGTTTGAAAACAAGTTGTAGTTTCATAACCTTCTTTAGCCATGGTTTACCAAGGTTTACCGTGTTGGTAGTGGTCTATACCGCTACTCACAGGATAGCCTTTGGCAGACATGCATTTATAAGCAAGGTTTCCGACGGGTAAGCTTAAACATGTTTGAAAGCTGTTTACTTAAACGCGGTTTAAAATTGTTCCCTTCATAAACGTTGCTTACTGACTTTAGTTGATTGGAAATTTAATGCAAATTACAAATTTGAATCCTGTGTAAAAACCTGTGTTCCAGTTTTTCGTGTTTGTTTCCATTGTTTAAAAACCTAGTGGTTTAATTATACATGTTTAGTTGGGGTGAACGGGCATTTGTTTAAGACCTCTCAAAATGAAACAATATACGAACTGACACAACCGTATGTCCTTAGCCCCAAAAAAGAGGAAGTGTGTTTTCGAAGGCAAGTTAAAAAAGATGTTTGGATGAACGTCGTGGCTGCAGTACCTTGCGCGTCTCTCATCTGCTCACGTGCTCCTCACGCGCCTAGTTTCCTCCTTTCCCCTCCCCTTTCAAACCCGTGCCACTGTTCGGAATACAGGACACTCAGCAAGACAAAAGCACAAAAACTTCAGATCCACTCTTTAATTCTGTTGCAGATAAATAAAAGACAACGAACTATGAATTTTGCAAAGTTATAAAGTCAATAAGTATTTACATGTATATGTACAAAATTTTCTTGGGCTGACAATGGGTGTCAGAGAATTCTTAAGTGAAAAAGACAGCACTAAAAAGACGTGATTTAACGCCGATCGGTGCTTCGACGACTGGCCGCGCTGCTCGCTCGAGAAGAGGCCTTGGACCCAGCTGCGGAGCCCGGCCTGGAACTTGACTTCTTCCCCCGCGCACTTCCCGTTGGAGACACACCTGGAAACAAATGAAACATGTTAAAAATTGTACTAAACTTTTCACGTGCTGTCACCCTAGTAAAAGATCAATCGAAGGCAACGTATGTTGGAGAAATAACGGAGTCTAGCCTTCAAGCACTTCCTTTTTCCTCATGGATTGAAGAGCTAGCGAAATAAGCACGTGAGAGTGTTCTAGTCTTTCTTCTTTCTTCCTTTCCACTGACGCCCCGCCCCGCCCCGCGTCACGGGAGGAAATTGTTTTGCGCCCTCGCCTTTTTCCATCTAAACAGGGCGGGTTGGACAGACAGCGCGTCGCCCTTATGCGCCTTTGCGCTGATGATGACTATCTTTGAGGAAAATAAGGAATTATTCGTCGTATAAAAGGAGCAACTATTGTAATAAAGTCTCATAAAAAGACAAAACGAAATATATCATACTCTTTATTACCCAATTCAATATTGCTATGTGGGTGAGTTCAATATTGCTATGTGAGTTTATGCAGACAGTTTTTAGGGATGCATTCAAAAGCTTTTGACAGCCGAGGCCGAAGCAAAGAACCGGTAAGTTTGGCATTCTATCCTTTTGGACATGCGCATTTTGTTAAGATAACATACCTGGTTTAGGGCTCCCGGCCCCTGTTGGACTCGCAGCTCCGGTGAGAGCCAAGGTTCCAATATCTACTGTACCAACACCACGCCGACTTCCGGTGGATACATCAGATCTACAAGACGATCATTAAACAAACCAGTTACAGGAAGAACATTCAACTCAAGTGCAAAGGCATCTGGGGTACTAACAATTTGCATTGGAAAACCGGAAATTCCGGTGGGAAAATCAAATGAGTCGCGCCATTCAGTTTATTGGAAAGCTTCAGAAAATATGGGCTTAGCCTGCTTAACACGCGCTTGGAAGTAATGGGCGAAAAAGAGAATAAACGCGCGCGAGGGAGACACACGAGGGGTGCTACCTCTCCCCTCGCGTGTCTCCCTCTCGCGCGCCCGTTTTTTCTTGTGCCCACTACTTCCAAGCGCCTGCTAAGCAGGCTAATTTGGGCTGTGATTTGAGGGGAAGCAATTTTTCTGCATTTTTTAGTCTATTCAACTGATTTCAATATATATGTTGCAGTTAATTTTTTATTCCAGTTTTTTTTTGTTTTTCCTTTGTATTAAGTTCGTTAGCATGTATTACCATACCCCAAAACAATGGATAAATAAAAATTAACTGAAATAAAAAATTAACTACAACATAAACATTGTAATGGATTGTTCCCCTCTCCCACCATATATATTATACTGTTTCATGCTTATGTATAAGATTTCCACTCGGGTGGTTTGTGTAAATTGTGAGCCCCCAACTCTCTTCATACAGGAGGTAAAGATGCGACGTTGATACAGATTCCGTTCAAATTCAATAATCAATTTAGGCGACTTACTTACTCCAACTAACTCCATCAAGGAACAGACTTACTTCAATGCTAAATTTTGTTAAGTACTGCGTCTAAAATCTTGCGATGTCAGAAAAACACAAAAGGCTTTGTAGTACAATTACATGTACTCAGCTCGATATTTTAAGGGATAAATATGTTTTTCCAATCTTACCGGGCGGACGAGACCGTTCCTGAGCTCCTTGAACTGCGCGATGATGTAGGCCGAGAGGCCCCGGGTCCTGGGGACGGCGGCATAGGTAACCCGGCCTGGCTAAAATAAATCTGGACACTGGGAGCGAGATCCGGGTAATTGTGTAGTACTTCACCCATCTGTTTCATGGTGCGCGTGTTAAACTCTCGTAGCTCTCTCAAGTCCATATCCTTCTCTTCATGAAGTTCTCCTGGGCTCTTTTTCGCGCTTCTTACAGTGCGAGCAATTTTAGCGGCCTCGCGAGAGGCCCTGTCCTTCTTAGTTTTTTGATCGTCTAGCTCCTTTTGCAAATTTGTCGTCTTGGCTTGTTTTTCAGTGATAACCTCAACCAAAGCTTGTTCGTCTGCGGTTAAACTGTCCAGCGTGTTCTGCATGGAGCCCAAATCCTCTTGAAGCTCGCGAATTTGCCGACGTTTGTATTTGTATTTGTCCATTACAGCACGCATCTGATCTTCCAAGCGCTGCTTCTCGTCAAACTCCTCACTCATCTCGTCTACCTTGTTGAAGCTTTTCCTGTAAGTCTCGTTACGTCCATTCATCAAACGCAATGTGTTCTCTAACGCCCTATAAAGAGAAGAAAAAATACAATAAACTAGTTTGATCAGTATCAGATTATCAGAACTGTCGGTTAAGAGAGGTTGATTTTAAAGATAAGTACGATACTTTTAATATCTAAGAGCGATAAAATGACGACGAAAATGAGTTTTCAAGAAAAACTATTGTTGATGATGATGGTGGTGGTGGTGGTGGATAATGATGATGATGATGATGTACGTATATATCGGAGGCAGCGTGGCCGAGTGGTTGGAGCGCTGGTCCCGCTCTGACCGCTACTGAGCTGGATTTGCTCTCAGTAGTCCCGAGTTCAAATCCTCGTCCACGCTTGTAAATAGCCGACTGGTTTGCCTCCGTCCAGGGATTCTTAACCCTGTTAAGTTCAATTTGAATTATTTGTTTCAGGCATTTGCTCAGCCCAACTAGCATTAATGCTATAAATACTGGCGAGATAAATAATGGAAATTTATTTTTGATGATGAGAATGATGAGGATGACGATGATGATGAAGCCGAAGCGGATCACGACCAACTTAACTTTGAGAAAGCCAGTCAATCTAACCTGATCTCCTTTTCAGCTTTCCTTATCTTAGCATCCAGTTCGTCACCCTCTCGCTGTAGTTCCTCCTTTTCCTGGGCTGCCTTGATGACGTAATAAGCTTGAGACCTCTCCTCCTCCCCCTCGGGAGGTGCCATGGAGATCATCAGAATTTCGTACCTGGTGTAAGAAAACACGAAATGTCACTCCATAACTGCTTCGGTTTTGCACTTTCAGACGAGTTAAGTTCTGGGGCGTTTTTTCTTTTGGCTACACGTCCTGTGTTTTCAGTTGTCCTTGTGTTGATTCACTGAATTTTCTATATCTATTGTGGATGACAAACTACATACCTCTTTCTTAATTTGTCGATCTTGGATATCCGTTCGTGAAGTTCTGAGCTGCAAGATGAAAAATGAAACCATATTATCATCAAAAGAAAAGTAAGGAAGGNTTTTTCAGTGATAACCTCAACCAAAGCTTGTTCGTCTGCGGTTAAACTGTCCAGCGTGTTCTGCATGGAGCCCAAATCCTCTTGAAGCTCGCGAATTTGCCGACGTTTGTATTTGTATTTGTCCATTACAGCACGCATCTGATCTTCCAAGCGCTGCTTCTCGTCAAACTCCTCACTCATCTCGTCTACCTTGTTGAAGCTTTTCCTGTAAGTCTCGTTACGTCCATTCATCAAACGCAATGTGTTCTCTAACGCCCTATAAAGAGAAGAAAAAATACAATAAACTAGTTTGATCAGTATCAGATTATCAGAACTGTCGGTTAAGAGAGGTTGATTTTAAAGATAAGTACGATACTTTTAATATCTAAGAGCGATAAAATGACGACGAAAATGAGTTTTCAAGAAAAACTATTGTTGATGATGATGGTGGTGGTGGTGGTGGATAATGATGATGATGATGATGTACGTATATATCGGAGGCAGCGTGGCCGAGTGGTTGGAGCGCTGGTCCCGCTCTGACCGCTACTGAGCTGGATTTGCTCTCAGTAGTCCCGAGTTCAAATCCTCGTCCACGCTTGTAAATAGCCGACTGGTTTGCCTCCGTCCAGGGATTCTTAACCCTGTTAAGTTCAATTTGAATTATTTGTTTCAGGCATTTGCTCAGCCCAACTAGCATTAATGCTATAAATACTGGCGAGATAAATAATGGAAATTTATTTTTGATGATGAGAATGATGAGGATGACGATGATGATGAAGCCGAAGCGGATCACGACCAACTTAACTTTGAGAAAGCCAGTCAATCTAACCTGATCTCCTTTTCAGCTTTCCTTATCTTAGCATCCAGTTCGTCACCCTCTCGCTGTAGTTCCTCCTTTTCCTGGGCTGCCTTGATGACGTAATAAGCTTGAGACCTCTCCTCCTCCCCCTCGGGAGGTGCCATGGAGATCATCAGAATTTCGTACCTGGTGTAAGAAAACACGAAATGTCACTCCATAACTGCTTCGGTTTTGCACTTTCAGACGAGTTAAGTTCTGGGGCGTTTTTTCTTTTGGCTACACGTCCTGTGTTTTCAGTTGTCCTTGTGTTGATTCACTGAATTTTCTATATCTATTGTGGATGACAAACTACATACCTCTTTCTTAATTTGTCGATCTTGGATATCCGTTCGTGAAGTTCTGAGCTGCAAGATGAAAAATGAAACCATATTATCATCAAAAGAAAAGTAAGGAAGGCTCTGTTCTCAAGGAAAGAAAATGCGCAAGTGGAATCTCAATCCAGCAAACCCAAAAGGTAAGTCAACATCTTGCGTTTTACCACCGCGTGCTTGTCTCATTCGAGCATTTGGTGACGATTCTGATTAATGATAAAAAACGACTGTTTCGGCTCTTGTAGGTACTAGAGGTGAGGACATGAAAGTAAGGAGTTTCCACTAACTTCCATTTCCTACTGATTATCTTGCATGCTTTTCAAAGCACCTTTCCCCCGTCTACTACACATTTACTCCGTTTTCTTCAACCTTCCATGCTCCCACGATCGGTTTTTGTCCTTTCACTGATATAACTTCGTTCCCCGGGTCTTCTCTCATAAGCTAAGAACCCGGTAAATAGCGAGCTTAAGCAAAGATGTTTTTGCGGGACTCATGACAACCGGAAGTGCACTTTTTGCAATATTAGGCAGGGTTCTCTCACGAGGATGCGTGAGTGCAAGTACAACTCAGGCGCCCTTCGGCAACAACGAACCATGTCGTTTTCATATTGGGCAGCGAGTTCGGATCGGAGCCGAAGAGCCGATCTCTGTCAACTCAAAGTGAGCGAGTGACACATTTACATATCAAAACCCATCACAAAAACCCTTTGGATAACCTTGGGCATTCACGAGTTTACTAGGGAAAACGGTTCACTTCCGGTTGTCTTACGTCACTCAAAAACGCCTTTCCTTAAACACCCGAATACCCCCCTAATGACACAGGTTGCTACGTTCCCTCCACTACTGTACCTGACTGTCTGTCTTTCTTCCTCAGAAGACTTGATCTGCGCTCTTAACATGTCTTTATGAATGTCTATTTCGTGACGTCGCTTCTGCATTGCCTATAATGACAGAGGGAACAAT